ATACTTTATCGATAAACCAAACATTAAGAAATGCAAGCAAAGTTATATAAATGCTTAAGAAATAAACAGAAAAGAACATAGTGTCAAATAAAAAATTAATGTATTATGTACTTCTATATACGCAACAATCTATATAATTTTCTTATAAGAATTTCAACTTTTTATTTCAACTTTTTTTTTGGTTAAACTATTGCATAAATGACTTCATTCAAGCAAGTTTTCTTTGTTTGACGCATATATCTTATTTCAAGATTATAGATTGTTACGTATATAGGAGCATATATAAGTCTTTATTTGATACTTCTTTTTTTTCTGCCTTATATGCCCTAATATGTGTGAAGTTGCACGTATATTAGGGCATATTCGGTGCTTCCCGTCTAAATTTTCGTGCATCATGACTGTTGGTTTGAAAAACATTATTGTTGCATTATTAATTATTATATGTTATACAGTACTGTTATTAGCAAAAAAAATTGATCTATCAAACTGCGAAATGTCGCTTCCAGTTACTTTTGAGACGGTCATCGCCGTTTCTCGAATACCATCACGATGCACCGCGGATATTTGGTGGCAAAGCACGCGGCCCGAATACGCGTGCAAATTTATGTGCCGAGGCACTTACGATCCCCCGTGCGCTCTACAAGTTTCAGGAAGCGGGAAGAAAGAAAAGGAAAAGATTTAATTTGTCTTTCTCGCGCCGCGCGCGCTTTTGTTCGCCTTCGGCCTTGCGCTCAGTGGCATTGCCTCTTTCCTCATTGTGACGGAGGGGTTTGCCAGCTCGGTACTTATAACCGATGACGATGTAGCTGTGACGTGGCTAAGAATAATGTTAAAGCCATTGTCTCGCTAAATCTTAAGAATTATTTGCGCGGTGAGGATGTCTGCGAAGCTTTATCGAAAAAAAAAACTAATCTAGGGACATTCTCCTAAAAAAATTGTCGATTGCGAGAGACACAAAGAAAATAACAAATTGGGATAAACAAAGATAAAGGAGGAGATATCGTAGAGAAGCATGTTAAAGCCATTTCATAAATTTTCATAAATTCTAGAAAGGATTATTTGGAGAGAACGACTATACAAAGCTTTGTCGAGAAAAATTAATCTAGCGGGACATTTCTAAAACAACTCGATTGTGAAGAATACAAAGATAAAAACTTAGGATAAACAAGAAGAATAAAGGAGGCGACATGGCAGAGAATAATGTTCATGTTATTGTCACGTACATCTCTAGAATTATTTGCGTGGCGAGAATAACTATAAAGCTCTTTGTCGAGGAAAAGTAACTTAGGGACGTCTAAAATAACTCTCGATTGCCAAGAAACACAAAGGAAACAAACAATTAGGATAAACAAGAATAAAGGAGAAAAGTGAAGGAAACATCGCGGAGAATGCTGTGCGAATTATTAATTAAATGTCGTTTAATATTCCATTCGCGCGGAAAAACGTCCGTTTTTGACGTCTCATCGACGTGGTATCGCAGCTGTCAAAATTTCACGTGTCGCGTCCGTCCCCGCGTTGTCGGTCGAGTTCGGCGAAGAGAGCGCAAAAGTGGGGTTAAAGCCCGATTAAGTTGGGGCTTGCGGGTCGAGAGAGAGAGAGAGAGTGGAGGGAGAAATTGCTTTTCGACGGATTGTGCAAAACAGCACGGTTGTTTACTCGCATCTATCCGCGAACGTCGAGTGCCGCGCGATAATTTCGGAGCAAACATATCTGTACAATATTTACAATCTTTCGCGTAAACGATTCGCCTGTCGATTCTCTTTTGTTAATGATCTATCTTTCGAGATATCGTTCGAGATATCGTTTCCATCCGAGAAAAAGCGAAAGAGAAATAGAGGGAAGAGAGCGAAGCTAGCTCTCTATATCTCTACAAGCTTCGCTCGCCTCGTCGTCGCGAGGAGGCGAGCAAGTCATTCGATGATCGCGTGTTCCGGCGATATCCAGTTTACTCCGCGATGTGTGTTTGGTACAGGAGATATCGTGGCGGCGCCACGAATTACGCGAACGCGCGCGCGCGCGCGCGCGAGAGGCACGACGGGCGAAACTGGAATTAAACGTCGAGTAATCGCCGCGTTAAAACCCGTCGCCGTGCCACCTGTCCCGGCGTCCCCCGGTCGCAGCGCAGCGCGTAGGAGTGTTGCATTGGAAACACCTTACGGGGAAGGTTTTGCTCGGCGGGTCTTGTAGTACTAGAAAGCCTCGCGCGGGGGCGTAGCGAGCGCGCGGGTGCCCCCTACTCCCCACCTTCCCTTCTTCCTCTCCTCTCTCTCTTCCTCTCCCCCCTCTCTACCACCCCTTTCTTATCCACTCGTTTTCCTCGCATTATCGCCTCACTTCACTTCGGTGCCGTCCACTGGACTATACCGTGGCGTTTTCTGAACGCAGCTGCTCCGGTCCCTCCCTTTCCAGCTCTCTGTCCTCGCAACGCATTTTGTATGGCGATTTTTTATCGTGAGACCGACACAAAGAGAATCGCCCGGGAGATAAAGAATTTCTTTAATCTTGCGCGATTAAAGGCCGGACACACGTAGTGTTACAATGTGTTTCTTAAGTTTGATATTTGTTAAAGCTGGACTTTTTGGGCACAATGGAAAGTTTAAGAAATGATATCTTGCTACACACACACACACACACACACACACACACACACACACACACACATGCGTACTTTATATTGCACTTTGCAGTCATCTATTAAGGAATAGTGAACTTTGACAATTCTTAGTTGAAGCATTTTATTTATGAGAAAGTGTACGGTCATAAGTCAAGTCTTTGAATATCCCGATTAAGCGAACACGCGATTACGCCGATTACGCATGATCACGACGGCTAAATTTTATGCAAATGCCACTCTTATCAGAACAAAATAAAAAAAATTTTCTGTTTGATTATATATATCTGATGCAATTAATGCCAATGTTACTTGGACTCGTGGCCAAGTCTTTAAGTCTTTGGCATTTTTTTAGATCGTGAAAATTTTGCGTACGATTCAAAAGATTACCGTCCCGAGATGAATTAAATTTTTCAACATATATCCGCGTACATTCATCTCGAGATACAATCTTCATCCTTAGATGAAGCTTTTACATCTTAAACTTATGCAATAATTTTTGAACGATTAATAAAACGCAAAATTTTCTTATTTATTTGTGAAGATTATATATTTATGTTATATGTGTATATAAAGAGTATATATTTATTATTGCATAAAAACTATTTGCGAGGTGTGCAGATATCAAGAATTTGAATGTTCGAATGACGGAAATTGACTCAAAGTTCTCCCTTTCCTTTCGGATTAATTACCCTTATTTATTTTACTTTTTAAAGATACTATAGGCGTGAATTACGCATTTCAATTCGGCGTACTTATAATTCGCCCAGTTACCCGATATCGATAGAAACTCCGTCAGACGTTCGATCGAACGTACACTTTCAACTACTATTTCGGTACGGTTCTATATGCGCGTTCTAATAATTTTTTCCCGATCGAGACGGCTGACCCAATTCCTAACCTCCTGCGACCCCTTATAACCGATAGGGAAGAGGTACCATTTGATTCAGAATAAAGATACTCTTTAAGCAGTCGGGTTTTAATAATACCCAAATCCTGGAAAGTGGGCCGATTGCTCGTTTGGCAGATATCTCTCTCTCTCTCTCGCTCCATTTTCGATTAATAATTTTATTTACCCATCGCATTCATTATGAGAAAATATAGCCGAGTCTTTAATATCTTAAAATCTTGACCTACAATACAGGTATAATATTTCGTGAGTTAAAAATTGTGAGAGCATATCGACGTAAGTATGAATTATAAAAAAAAAAAAAGATCGATTTCAAATTGGTCATCAATTAATCATAAATTTTATAAGGCGGAACCCCTGGAGCGTATAAATACTATAAATAATACATGAAAACACTTATATATAGATACGTAGGATTGTAGCGCTATATTGTACACGCTTGAATCTTGCAAGACTAATTTGTAGAAAAAGTGTTATGCTTCCGCTCGCGCTGATTGATCTATAAACTCGCTAGCTTTTCATTAACTGTGCTCAAAAGATATAAATGTTGAAACTTAAATATATCGCCCCCATTCTGCGCACCTAATTAAAATCTGATTATAATAAGGTAATTTGTGTCACATTCAAATATACTCCTGTTTCCTTCTCAATTAGAGAATAAAGCTAATAATAAAACAGATCGATGACCCAACTAGCGATTCAAATGTCTCGCTTAATCTCGTTTCAAGACAACCCGATCAAGATTTCCAAAGCTGTGTTTATCCATACGTGAGTAAGCTAGATTGATTTTCGAAAATGTTTTTTAATCGCATCTCATTGACATTAGATCAAGCGACCCAGATCCATTTTTAGGCCACATATTAATAATATTACGTCTGTGGCACAAATCCTCCGTGCCGTAAAATATCTTTTCGCTGCGTAAAAAATTCATCCTTGCATAGAATCTCCTAAATAGCTCGCGCGCGGCCGACAACGCGCGGTCGGAGTTCGGAGTATCGAAAAAGTGGACTTGTCCCGCTTCGCGGTTCGCGGCATCAATTGGATTCAATTGAGGAGCCAATCGCTCGCCGGGGCGCGTTCCGAAACCGCCGCCGCCGCCGCGTGCGCGCGAGAGCGCGCCGCATACGAAATCGTGAGAAGCGGGCCCGGATCAAATTTTCAGCCGAAGAAATTCTCTCGCCGAAAGGAGTTTGCGCTCGCGGGGAGAAAGCGCGGAAAGTGCCTCCCCCGGAGGGGGGGGGGTATTTGGTGGTAGTACCAGCCGAGCGCATGCTGAGCGGCGGCGATGGCGAGCGGTTGCGGTTCCCCGTCCACGATCGGCGCTGAATGCGCCGTCGCCGTCGCCGCCGCCGCTGCGGCAGCAACCACCACTGCCTCTGCCGCCGTCAGCCGTCGTTGAACGCGCGTCCGCCGCGCTGTGCCGTATCGCGTCGCCTCGCGCGCGCCTGGCGGTGTGCCGTGCCCGCCGTGCCGTCGCTTACGCGTCCGCCCAAAAGCCCCAGCGCGCGCCTGGCCGCTCCGCGCGATCGCCATCATGAAAACATTCGCCCGTCGTTATCGTTGTTTCTCCTCCGTCCTTGCGGGCTGCAGAGCGCGGATCGGAGGGTAATATCGAGCGCGTCGGGCGTCGGGTGCCGGGATCGTCCGCACGATCCGCGCGCGCGAGAGACCCACGGACACGTTGTAGCGCCCAACGACACGCACCACGGCTCCGTCCGCCCGTCCACTCCACCGTCGTCGCCGCGCACGGAAACGCGAGGCCCTGAAGGCAGCTCCGTTTCGTCGTGATTTCGCGTGCCGTGCGAAGTGCGCCGCGAGAGGATTGTAAAACGAGAGTGAGAGAGAGGGAGAGAGAGTGTGTGTGTGTGTGTGTGTGTGTGTGTGAGCCAGCGCGACGGAAGAAAGAGACGGGCGATCCTCTGTCGACAGTTCTATTGTGCGGGGGGTGTCCGCGGATCGCGATAAGGATACGGCCGCCGCCACTTAAATGCCTCGCACAAATTTCTACTCCATGTTGTGCATCGGTTGCGACACGGCTGCGTGTTGGAAAGTGAGTAATATCCCGAGTATTGCGCTCTGCGCGATCACACGCCTTTCCTCGGGGGGGCCCCCTGGCCCCTGGCCCCTCTGGTTTTGTCGCGGAGAGCGAAAAGAAAGGGAAAAAAAATGTCATCGCCAAGATGACGTAGTAAAAATTCCTAGGAATCGTTTCCCTTCTTCCTCTCGCCCTCTCGCTCGCTCCCACCGTGGGGTTTCTCGCCTTCTCTCCCTCGCTCCCACCCGGGGTTCTCACCTCCTCGCTCTCTCGGTCGCCTCGCGTTTGGGCTCGCAGTTGGGGCCATCCGAGTCTCCTCTCTGTCTCTCTCCCTCTCTCTCTTTTTCTCTCTTTCTCCTTCTCTCTCCCATTGTTGTGTCCTTTTGTTGAAATTTCGGTTATTATCGAGTGCCTCGGCGTGTCCGCAGATTGCAGATCCCAAGGGCATGCCTCGTTGAGAAGATATTTATGTTCTGACCTTGCACGACGCAGGAAGTAGGCTAAGTCGCCGATAGGTCCCATTTTCTTTTCTCGCCAGTTCGCATCGTGTTCTGACATTTTCGAAAACTCACCTGCTTTTCTTCCCTGAACACGCTTGTCACGATCGCCGAGAGGTAACGCGGCTATTTTGGATTTTCTCGCGTTGAGTGTGATCTTTACACGCGGCCCTAGTGCGGTTCCTGTTGGTGGGACAATTTTATTGTTCACATTTATCTCTTTGTCACGAAAAAGAGATGTGTCAAGATAATATACCTCGTGAATTAATTGATGTAATACCACAAGCTTCGTATTTTGTAAACTGCAACAGTCTTTGTTATCTTGTTTCGATTGTGATTTGGCTTCGTCATTCTCGTTTATGATGTATTTTAACTTGTAACGCACTTAATATTCTCTCAAAGTAATATACAATGTTTATATACTCATTTTTATATACGCTGTTTATATACTCATGTGCGAGATAATTGTTTGACATATTTAAATACGAGATGTTAATTGATATTTTATTTTTTATATCCTCCGCTATTAATCGCACGATTTATTTGTGACAGGTGAGTACATGGTGACACACGGTTGCAGAGGAGCAATTGGGAAGAGAGCCGCAGCAAAGGACTACACCTAGTTATCTTACACCAAGCTGACTGCAACTTTCCACTGTTTCTCAAGGCAGTGATCGCAACTAGGATTTATTAAACGGGAATTTCCTTGATTTAACGAAGAGACACTGACACACAAAGACGACAGTTATGGAACGAGAGTCAAATCCTATGCAAGCTCTGTGTCGCAGTGGCTGTGGATTTTATGGCTCGCCAGCTACTGATGGCCTTTGTTCCCTATGCTATAAGGAAAATCTAAAAAAGAAGCAACAACCACCAGTGTCAGCTGCCACCGTACCAACCTCACAGACTGTCTCCAGCAACGCTGGCACGTTGCAAGGCAGTTTCGGTAGCCCAGCAGCAACAGGAACGACGGCCCAACCTACCATTCCTACTATACCTCAGTCAACGTCGGATCTGCCCAGTCCCAAAGAAGTGAGTATTACCATGATTTCTTCATAGCTATTCTGCACAAACGTAACGCCTTTGTTCTTTCAATTAATTTGCAGAAAATAGCGCTTATAAGCAGTCCTGAACCCGCAAGGTCGTATACATCAAATTGTTTTTAGTCTGTAAAACATATACTTTGAAAACGGCAAGAGGAAAGAATATTAGAATATTGCTAGACTGAACTTTACAGAGACATTAAAATGCAACATTGCATATATGTATTTATTGCTTCTTTTGCATTGTTTTAATAAAAATTTCTTGTAGAAATACGCGGACTGTAGACAAGAAATTATATGATTACCTATACTCTACAAAAGTAGATTATCTGTCTTTCACAGATTATCTGTCTGCGAGAAGAAAATGATGCAACACATCTAATTTATATTGAAACAGTTGTTTCTGATATTGATTATGATATTTATGATATTATGATAAAAATCTCATTGAACATCTGCACATGTCTTATTTGTTATTTATAACTTTTATAAATGATATAGATGAATTTTTATATCTAATTAACGATCAATTAGTATAAGGATTTATGTGTTTTTGATAATAATCTCTATATATATAAAATATAATATAATATAATAATAAACATTTTTCAATTAAATTTGAAATAGATATAACGGAAATTTGAGAAATATAAAAGATATAAAGGAAATTTTAAGAGATAATTATAATAATAAATAATTATTTTCATCGTTCTTACAGTATGTCTTATACTTTTGTCAATCAGGTAAACAGAGAAGATCAGGAAAGTGAAGTAGGTGTAAGCAGTGCGGTAGCTGAAGGTTCATCGGCGAGTAGTGGCGATGTAGACGACTCCTTTGATGGCAAAGAGACTGATAAAGAATCTAAGAAGAAGAAAAATCGTTGTGCTGTATGTCGCAAAAAAGTTGGTTTGACCGGTAAGTGTCCATGTAATGTAATGTAATTAATTAGTAATGCAACGAATTAGAGTTGTTTTCATGATGATGAACTTTCAGGATTTGAGTGTCGTTGTGGAGGACTATTTTGCGCCGTGCATCGATACAGTGACAAGCACGATTGCAAATTCGATTACAAAGAAATGGGCGCTCAAGAAATTCGGCGCAACAATCCAGTTGTTGTTGGTGAAAAAGTGCAAAAAATTTGAACTATTTAGTGTGTAGTCGTTGGGAAAATGGTTATTATAACTATATAAACAAACAGAATATAAAAGAAAAACACGCAGAAAACGAGATAAATTATCTGGCAGCTGATTTGCACGTCGAGGGGTGAAACGAGCGAGCGTGTAAGATCGTGTGCGAGAGCGAGAGAATGAATGTGTGTGTGTGCGCGCGCGCGCGCGCAAGAACGACAGTAAAATTGTTTTGTAGCTGAATGCCGAGGAAGGGTATAGAAAGAGAAAAAATGAAGAAGAAAAGAAACGAATATCAGACAGAACAAATAAACGAAAGATTGCAAATTAGAATGTGTGCGCGTGAGTGAATGAAATTCGTAATTGGATGCCAGTGCCATGTAAGTTTCAGATTGTCATCTAGTGAGAGAATTTTAATTGAGAATATATCTGGTTACTAACTGCTGCCAGCTTACTACTATTATTACCTATTATTATCTTCATGATTATTACGGATTATGATTATTCTATATTATGTTTATTAATTTACTTAAATAGAAAATTTTTTGCGAATATGAAGCTCGTTTTACGTAAAGGCAGAACTCTTGGTGCGGTCAGTCGGTCCAGGACGTCTTAAGAGTTTTGGTTTGTTCGAGAAATTTTATACATTACTGTTTCGTTTATATATCAAAAAGTAAAAAATAGGGAATGTTGCTTAGGTAATGGCTGACGTTGATGGGTGATCACAATCTTAGGTTAATAATTAGTCTATAATTATTAAGTATATTAGTCTATTGATTCATAAATAATGCAATGAAGTATAAGTAGTACTGTGTGTTTATGTCCAATTTCACGTGAATATAACCAGCAATTATTACTCATTAAATATGTTTCAACCTATATTGCAAATAATTATTTACACTACGGCCGCCAATCTGGGATTTGTAAATTAAACCCCTCTTTAACGTATTTCTTCGATTTCTCTTAGAACAATATAAATGAATTGTTAACGGTTGAAGTCGATTAGTTTACTCGTTTCCTTTATTTTTGCTTGTTTTGCGAGTTTTGTAGGGTAGCTGCGCGAGGTATTCCGGTGCTGCACAGCAGCGCATAATGTAAGAGTAAATGATTAATAAAATGTCTAGAGAGGCCGGGCATTATATGAACGACGAAAGATAAGAGAACTATTAAAGTTTGTAAAGTGTGAACGTATACTAAAAACCGTGCGCGAAGGATATTACACTGATAAATTTTATAATCCACGTACATACTTCTATTTTTCTTCTCCGCGCTCAAAACTCGTGCCGAACTTTTCATTTTTTCCTTTCTCGCCCGTAAACACCTTATACATGTTTGTAAAGTTATAGCATACGCGAAAGGGTGCTATAGCTGTTCAACTTTCTTCTACTCCTGTAAAACAAGATGAGTGAAAACGATAAAACTGCGCAAATCACACCTCACGTATAGGTCAATTCCTTAAGAGCTTCATGGAGTGGGTTTGAATTTTTCAAGAAAAGAATATATTAAAAAGAAATACACACTGCGACTTCCCAATTTCGCGTGAAACAAAGTAACAATGTCTCCTATCTTTCTTTTTCTTTATGTTATCCCGAGACAAAGCGCTTAATCTAAATTGTGCTGCCGTGCTTTTACTTCTCGTTTTGTAATTAGTGGACTTGTATAAAAGTGAATATTATTCGCCTAAAAATTTATTTTTGCGTCGCCTCGAAAAAAAAAACATGTACATCAAATATCTTATTATTTTCGATAAATATATAAAGCGTTCTGTTAAATGTGTAATCGTAAGGGTCTGTCAGACTTTTTATGTGTCTTTTCTTTCTTCAGGCTTAAGCAAATACGCCGCATTAGTTATCCCGTATTAGTTACCAAATATACTTCACGCCGTCGTCGCCGAAAGTACTCCAGCCGCGAACGAGTTTTCTCTTCGAACACACGCGCAGCGAATCGCAGCTGAATTTCCAAAACATTACCTAGAAATTAAGGCAATCGAAAACGGATCTTTCGTTGATGGTCATCGATAATTCGCATCGGGCACGATTCTTCGCGATCTTTACGGGACGACTTATATATATGCGCCGACTTCACATAGACAATATATACATATATATACATATATATATCTATATATATATACTTTTATCTTGTATCAAGATATTGTTGTCGATGAATATGTTCTTTTTTCCTTTTTGGCGCACCTTTTTAAGAACGCTGACGAGAGAAATCAGAATCGTGTATAGAAGAAAAAAAACGCACACCACACACGTAGACACACAATTACATTCACACATATACACGTTACACATACACAGACACCGATTATCAGTAATATCGACGGAATGGTTGCCTTCAGGCCTTCATCCTATTTTAGGCATAGCATATTTTTCTAACGTGTATCGCAATATCGGAATAATCTTGCCTAGCGAGAGCGATCGAATGATAGGAGGAAAAAGAGGGAGAGAGTGATTGAAGGAATGCGTATGTGGAGAGACTAAGTGATGCCTGGGGAGAGTGAGGCAGAGGAATGCGTGCAGGAACATAAATGATTTATAGAAGACGAGAGATTGAGAGAGCGAGAGAAAGAGAGAGAGAGAGAGATAAACAAAAAAGATTTATCAGCGACGATCGTACTCGGCTGACTATATAAGGACGTAACACGATGCTTGTAATTATTACGATTGATATTAGTACGTTTAAGCTATTAAAAAAGTAACATCAACTTTAATATATTATATGATTACAATTACCATCCTTTGAAAATGCTTTAGACATTTAGGTTTCACGTACGTAAAGAAAGTTAGTGTGCTCCCTACCTACGCTCTTTCCTCTCTTTCCCCTTTTTATCCCTCCTCCTTCTCCCCCTCGTCCCTTTCGTCCTCTCTTTCCTCCTGGCCCTACACGGGACCCTTTTGACAGTTCTCGAAATGTTTATAATTATAGCGGACTATATTTATGTATATTTAAAAACAAAATATATATAAATGCATCGCCCCTAACGAAAGCCGGAAATCGTTTTTTGTGTGTTCTCGACTACTTTATATAGAGCTCTTCAACTTAGCACCTCATCGAATTATATTGTAGCTGTACGCTGTACAAAGAAAAAAAGAGAGAGAGAGAGAGAGAGATATGAGGAAACATCTCCCGAAGTTTGAACGAGGTGCGACCTTATTTTCTCTGTAATGAAAATTTTTGCTGCAATAAACGGTTTATCTTTTACCACGCTGGATATACCCGATGACATATATATCTCGATCGAAATTCGTGCTTTTACACGTACGACAGTGCTTTTTAAAAATTAACAGCAAACATAAGCCGCATCGAACGCATTTTTAAATAATATATTCACTCACAATTAAAAAATTGCCGTTGTAAAAATATATATATATATATTGTATATCCATCGAAAAATATAACGCGATTAAGATAATACAGGGAATAGAAATATTTCTGAAATAAACAATTTTGCAAACAATCGGAAAAAGAAAACGGCGATGGATTATCGGAAAAAGAAGAAAGCGGAAGAAAAGAATTTTCTACATCGATAAAAATTCTGGGGGGTAAGAGGATATTGGATATTTGAAGGAAACAAGAAAATTATTATCTCTTTTTTATTAGAACTCGCTCTACGTGCGAAATCACGTAAAACCGAGACTCTCATAAATGCCTCTTTTATCGTACTTGTATTACGTGAAAATCAACACCCGCGGTGAACAAAAAAATTTAAAGCAAAGGATAATAGGCATTATATGGTAATGATTTATTATATATAGTAATCTATGGGAGAGCAGCGGGTAATAAATTGACTCTGATAAAGATATACGCAGATATGTTTTCTTTTTTTTACTAGAAATTCATTGCATGATCGAAGCATTCTCATCTTCGTCGGAAACCGAAGTGCTTCAGCGAATTTACATTGAAATAACATTTATAGACATCCAACGCCATTTTATTTCGTAAGGTTTGGCGTCACGATTGATCGGAACATCGTGTCTCTATCATGCGAATTTGTATTTCATGACCTTAAAGCTGTATCCAGAAGAAACGTCCAATCACGTGCTAAAACGCACGTGTGGTAGAAAAAAATTAAGAAATAAAAAATAATGACAGCGTAGTTTGATCCAGATAAAGTCGGCTAATAATCTATTTGAAGAATCCAAAAGAATTCGAAACGCAGAATTGAACGTCGATTCTTCTCGATATATCGATCGATATATTCATCAGCACTCGTTCATTACTTCACATCCTCCACAGAGGTCCTTCACACTGTTGTGGTTGCATGGGTTGTTGGTTGTTGCGTTTTGTAAAAACGGTTTTTCAAGTAACAAAGTGGAGAAATACGGTTATCGAAGAACATTCTTGAAGAATTTTCGTGACGGACAAAGGTTTTCAATACGATAACCGCAATGTCGATCGGAGTTCCCATTAAAGTGCTTCACGAAGCCGAGGGCCATATTATAACCTGCGAAACGAACACCGGCGAGGTGTATCGCGGTAAACTGATAGAGGCGGAGGATAATATGAATTGTCAGATGCAGGGTATCACAGTGACGTACCGGGACGGCCAGGTCGGGCAGCTGGAGAACGTGTATATCCGCGGCTCGAAAATCAGGTTTCTCATATTACCAGATATGCTGAAGAATGCACCCATGTTCAAACGACCCGGCGGCAAGGGATCGGGCACAGCCGGCAGAGGAAAATCCGCTATATTGCGAGCCCAAGGTTTGTCCGTAATGCGGGATCGTTGTTCCTGTAAACGTCGTTCGAAAGAAGAAGTTATATCCGGAAAGACATAGATGAGACATTTGTAAAAGAAAGCGAAAAAATGACTAAGATATTAGATTGGACTAGCTTAAGTTGGACAGAAAGAATGAATAGAACTATAATGTTAATATCTGTTTTAAAACGAATTACATTAGAATAATTAAAAAGGAAGTAATTATATGTCACTTGTCTCATTGGGAAATGATATTAATTAGGACTAGGATCAAGTTTAATGTGTACTTAAAAATCTGAATCACATCCAATAATCAAACTTTATTTTCTAGGATTTGAATAATATTTAAAAGAAATAATATTTCATATATTGTACTTGAATCGATCCTGACTAGTTAGTTTCGAATTTTAGAATGAATACTTGTAGGAATTGAAATGTACTTATAAATTTCTATTGTAAAGAATCGAATCTTTGGCAAGTTTAGCGATTTCCTTTTAAAATCCTTTTTAATCCTTTTTATTTGCTAATTCTAATATAATATAATGCTTTCAGCTCGTGGCAGAGGAAGAGGGCAAAATCAAAGAGGCAAGGGTACTGGTTCGGCACCTTGGCTGAATCAACAGGGTCAACCGGGTGGATCTCAACCTGGAAGAGGCAGGGGATAAATTATAAGATGTGATAGTAAACAATATTTTCTGATTATTTAAGTACAGGTGTAATTTCATTCCCGTATTTTTGTATCATTTCGAAGCAATATATTTTTGCGTACACTCAAAATTGTGATTTATATTTCTGATACATGTGTGTGATTGATAATAAATCAACTATTCCATATATAATTTCACTATTAAGAAATTACGTCTTTCTTTGAAGCCAAATTAAAATCAAATAATGCTAGTTTACTATCTGTCTCAACATGACTGATAAAGTAGAGATCAGTTCACCGATTTTATAATGCATGTAAAAATTTGACTTGTATGAAATACTAAATCTAACTTAAATATAAAAATCTAACTTGTATTGAAATATGGGTTTCTAAAACGAATTTCCATCTTTTTTATTTGCACTTCCAACTTTTCAGTCAAAGTTTTATAAAATTGAGGTGAGAGAATCAAGATCGAATGTAACTCCCATCGACTCTGAATTGATCATTTTTATACAGAGCCATGTATTACCCCACATTTAACTTCTGTTTTGAAAGATTATTTTAAATTCTTTGTCTATTTTATTCGTAGGCTTTGTTTCTATATGGCTGCGTTTGGGGAGCGAGCTATTAATTGAATCATTCTGTCTTCATCGCTCATCAGGTGTAAAACAAGGATAGAATAAGCAATTAGCGCTAATAGCGCGCTCCCCGAATCCAGCCTTTATAGGCGAAATAGAGATTAAAATAGTTTTAGTTTTTTTTAATGGTGCCAAATATACCGATTGAATATTGAAATAAAATCTAAAAATTCCCTCCAAGATTCCCTCCTCTCACCATAGTATCCATCTAGCGGCAACTTGAGCAATTAATTTTTAACAGCATGCCAAGTTACTCCTTTCGTATACACGTGTTTTTTGACATAACCAATCTCCAGGGTTCCAGTGTTTGACATAACCTATCCTGGTGAACGCGCAGCTGCAATTATGTTTAAACAATCTCAGCCGCAATTACTTAATGTAAATAGAAAACCTAGTCAGCCGAAGAGGCGAAGGAAGATCACGCTTGTCTTCGACGAGGAAAAGCGACGGTAATATTATCTCAGGAAGTCTACTTCTACTTTAGGAAGATACTTCCTCGTGTAGTCAACACACTAATTTATATTCACGTGTTCATGCGTTCAATTATATTAAATTTTCTATTCATAAGAGTTTTTATATTTACAGAGAATTTTTAGGAGGATTTCGTAAGAGGAAGCTAGAGCGAAAAAGGAAGGCTCAGGAGCAATTGCAGCAACAACTGAAAGAGGAACGAAAGAAAATTAAACAAGAAGTGAGTCATGCTTTCATTTGGAGAGCATCAAGACATTTCTCAAAGAATTAGAGAAAGCACGATGATATATTTCTTTTTTTCAGGCGCGAGAACGTTACAAGAAATCATTGTCGCATCACGTCGTCCCAGAGCTGGAAGAATTGTTATCTCGACAAGAATACGATCTCGAAGGTCATACAGTTAGTATTTTAGAGTTGAACGTTGCGGATCTCGCAGAAGGAAGCAAGTGGATAGGTGAAAACAAAATTACAGAAGAAACAGAAGAGCAAGATGACGACCAGCGCAGCGATGTCGACGACGACGATGAGATTGTGGGAATGTCGTTACAAAAGAAACCCAAGAAACAAGCGCAGCAAAACTCTAAATCCGATAGCCGAGAGATAAAATCTGCGAAAGAACTGAAACAAGAAGTTAAGAAAGCAGCGCTGAAACGAATAAAAAAGAGTAAAGCGTTTCAACAAAAACAGAGACTGGAACAGCAAAAAAACAAAAAGCAAAGTAGACAAAAGTTGCAAAAAGCCCAGAAGCTAGCGCAAAAACGTGGCACTAAAAAGGGGACTAAAACGAGGAGTAAAAAGAAATCCGGACGTTAGGATATTAGACAAATTTACTGCACAAACTCTAAATAAATATATTTTGTAATTTTGCGAATATTGTGTACATATACAAACATGCGTTTATCACTTCTTCGTCTTTTCACCGCTTTTTGAGGCATACGGACAGATATCCTTGTTGAGACATTCTGAACACTTGGGAAATCGAGGTAGACAAGTTTCTTGACCAAATCCCACGAGGAGATGATTCACTTCGCTCCACAAAGGTTTGGGAAGCCAATCCTCCAACTCATTCCTCGTTTCCTCCGGCGTCTTGGTTGGCTTCCTCACCCATTTCAATCTGTTGCAAATCCTGTGAACATGTGTATCCACGCCGATGCCGGACACCTCTCCCCATGCAACTCGCATGCATAGGTGAGCCATTTTAGGGCCTACCCCTGGCAGCTCGCACAATTCTTTTACTGTTTTTGGTATGTCACCATCGTATTTATCTAGAAGGATTGTTGACGTCCTTTTTATGTACTGTACCTTTTTCTACAAAAAAGAAAAGAAATTACATATTTTTTAATATAAAAAATTACTTTTAAATCTAAAAAGATTGTAATGTACACAATTACATATTACTTAACGACTCAATTATTATGAATTAAAAATTAGTAAAAGAAAAACAAAGGTTTATAATATAATAGATAAATGGATTTGTATTATTTACAGAATTAATTCCACTTTCATATGTTAAGAAACTAAAGATGAGTTAAAAATTAATAGAAGGAAAGTTATAGGCTTATAATATAATTGATAAATGGATTTGTATTATTTACAGAATTATTCTATTTCATATGCCAAAGAAATCAAAAATGAATTAAAAATTAGTAAAAGGAAAACGTAGATTCATATTATTTACAAAATTATTCTATTTTTATATGAAGAAATTTAAAGTAAAAGTTAAATTCTAAAAACGTTTCGTAAATAAATAAAGCACTGGTCCTTACTTTCCAAAATCCAACTGGATGTATAAGTTTGCCTAGAACATCGTCGGGGGTAGCTACAATTATATCCGGCTGACAACCGTAAGTGTTCAGACGCTGCATAGCAGCGAACGTGACCTGATCCTTGGTCTGACTGCTCAGCATCAGAGCTACTAACGATTGATATCTAAACATCGTGGGACTAGCGTTACGATCCGTACACTTGTGGCAACCCATCGTGTCAACTGGAGCTGTCTCATCCTTTCTCATCTCTTTAATGTTTTCAAGCACGGTCTCCCAGTTCGGTGGCATCCATCGCTCTTCGTCCTTGATATCCTTTAGGTCTGTCGATTGCTCTGCATTCTTATTTTCGACCTCACGTTCTTCAACTTTAACGTCCGCTACGTCTGTCGACACCGCCGCATCTTCGCGTTCTTTGGCGTTCATTTCATCATCCTTCGTAGCTTCATGCTCGATCTTGATCGGCGTACGTTTCTTCCTCGCCGATCTCTTCTCGCCGGCGAAGTAGGGCGACGTTTTCTCCGAGGAGTCCGCGTCGACGAGGGTCGTTTTGCCCGAACGTAAAGTTCTCGACGCCGCGAGACCGGCCAGCTTCAACCGTTTGTTCATCCTATCACGTGAGACACGTTACGGAGCTGTCGAATTAATTTCTATAAGTAACGAGAAGAACGTTTTTTCGTACTACCTGCGCCATTCGAAATTGACATAACCATTCCCGCTCGCGCTGGCCAGTCGAGGTTAGGACAGTTGTTCGTTCCTTGCAGCTGCACCGTGCTCAGCTGTTTGCACTTGAAACGAGATGGACACAAAATTAGATGGAGAGAAAAATTGAAGAGAAAAGGAAAGAAGAATTGAAAGCGCTTCTATTACAAGGAACAGATTTTAGACGAAGCAATAGGTAGTGCCATAAACAACAAAAAAGTTATTTCCATTTATATTATAATTTCCAAGCTTACAGAATTAATTTTTGAATTCAGGTACATTCTGTTTATTGCTGTATTGAAATCATTTGCGTTTATTCGCAACCAAATCGAAAGCAACTCGACCTATCAGTTATCACGATTCGTGAAACATTCCAGCAATATTGCTGGAAATCTGGATTGCGCTGTACGGGACTGGATTTCACTGGATTCGTCCGAAGTTGGCAGCATTCGCCAAACGAAACGTCAACATAACCTAACAAAAAGCCAAATTGATCTGACGTCGACCTTCGAGGTTTGGAATACGTGATATTTAATGCTTAATTTCATTATTTCGAAGAAACACGATAAATTTGTCAAATAAATGATTGTAGCGAGGAGCGTCACGACTCACGAAAATGCATACGTCTGCTAATTTTATCCTACGCGGTGGTGACGCAGCGTTTGCCAACAGGCAGCGATTGTTGTTCGATCAGCTGTCCGTCGCGGAAAGCAAATGTAACAAACATGACAACTCCGAGGCGAACGAGGAGGCGGAGATGGTGGTCGAACGCGAGAAGAGGCCAGTCCCGAGCGACGACCGGAGGCAGAAGAGGGAGACGAAGAGATTTCGCGGCAGGGAGAGTATCTTCAAGCGTCCCGAGGGTCCGGCGCCGCGCGCCAATTTCAGAAACATTCCGGACCATCACAGAAACCCGCACAAGTGGGTCAGGTACAGCCTGGACGACGTGTCCAGCGAGGACATGACGGAGCGCAGCAACACGCAGGCCGCGATGTCGTTCCTGAGGGAATTGAAGGCGCGCAAGAGAAAGGAGGATATCGACGAACGCGAGGACGACGAGGAGATGGACGTCGAGCCCTGCGAATCAAGCGCGCGTGGTTCTACGGAGACGCGGTTCAAGTCCAAGAAACGTGCGTCGTCGCAGATCGCGTTCAGAAAGCCGCAGACGAAGAAGACGACGGACGATACTGGCGCGACAATCGCAGAGCCGGACGAGAGACCTGTATTCAGAAGCAGTAAGATTATCCTGCCGGAATACGTGATCGGGGAGAGGCCGAAGAGGACCACGCGTAAACAGAATCGGCCAGTGGTTAAGGTCGACCGCTCGAAGGAACTTAGATTAGACCATTTGCAAGAGCCGGATGAGGAGGAAGACGACTGAGGCCAAATGTACAGTGTATAAAATTATTCTACACAGATAAGAGAACGATCATGGATAATCATGGATATTCCCTTGATAGAAAATTCACAGGCATTCGTAAATTTTGTAGGCATGTATAAATATGTGAAGACAGGCGCTTATTAATCTCGTATTTATACAATATTTAGTACAAATAAGATTACATACTATATATTGCAAGTAAGGAACAAAATTCTCTCAATAATGTGAGATCTGTGTAATTATAGTAATTAAGCATGTAATTATCTTAAATTTGAAGATATCGACGTGTCTAATTATTTTATCCACATTTTGTGTAATGTAAAAAAAGGAAATAGATGTATGTTTAGTTAACACATCAATATTATTGCTTTAAACAATATTTATTTTATCATTCCTCGTTCATTGCAACGTTAAAAATCGGATGGCTGCTCTCCACATTACTCCACAAGCGAGATGCCTTCTATCTATATTACATTACATGTATTTTATTTCAAGTGCAGAAAGTGCAACAGGTGCACTTGCTCCGACACCGAAAACAGTCGCAGTCGCAAACAAACGGCCATTATTTGCTACTCCGAGTGCACGTCGTGTGGCGTTAGGTTAGGTTAGGTGCGCTCGCTCGCTTCCGCGGGACCGTTCGCCGGCGGGAAGAAATTCGAGAGACTCGCGGAGGTTATGTCACCTGGGGCGACCGTCTGAGCTGCGTCGTGACCTCGGTAAGTGCCGTTCGCGCGAACGCCGACGTAACCGGCACCCGGGCGGCGTAGCGCGCTTTTGCTGGCGGGGAAAGGGGGGAGAGGCGAGAGCCATAACCTGTACGCGTGCACCTGTGTCGTTTCGATTTTCAAAATGGCGTGCCGAGTGTGAGAGGCAGGGCGAGGACTCGCCGCGCCTCGTCGTCGTCGTCGCCGTCGCGACATCCGGTGTTACCCTGTCGTCGGGTCGCGAGAGCACGTGCGTACATACGGTGCCGCCTCGTGCGCGAAGTTGCCCCCCTCGTGAGAGAGACGTTATGCCATCGCACGCGCGCAGGACGTAGGGAAAGTCTTTTCTTCCACGTTTCTTTTCCTTTTCTTCTTATTTTTTTTCCTCTACCCTTCTGTTACTTTTCGTTCCTTGATGGAGATCCCGATGGAGATCTCGATGGAAATCTTCCTGACGGCGTTCTCCGTGATATTCAGTCTATTAATAGTGTTCCTCCTTGTTGTGATAGGTAAGCACACGTATCAGGGCGCTGGTGCCCCTAGTCACGACGTCCCGACGTAATTACGTCATCAGGGGGAAAAGTAAAAACACGCGGATTCGGCAGACACACACACGAGTTTCTTGTTTTGTGCGCTAAGCGCAGATTGCGTGCCTGGTAACTGTAAAATGCGAATCGTGATCTTTAGACACCTAACTGCGTTCTAGTGGTTTCTAAATTTAGTGCTGCGACACTCATAGTGCTCACATTGTTTTTGTATGTCATCATGCAGTATATCGTTATCGCACAGTGATAAGCATATTTTTTTTGCATTATGTCATTTAAATTTGTTTCCTTGAGTGGCGATAAAGAGCTTGCTATAGTATATTCAAGCACTAAATTATAGAATTTGATACATATATATGAAATTTATAATTCAAGCTGAAAGTTTGAAGTACATTTATATCATTAAAATGTTTAAATTGCTTACTTTAGTGACAATAAGATAGAGCGGGCAAGAGATAAGCGTTTCAATTATGTAAATATATTTCAAGATCTTAGCTTGAATTATAAAACTTACTGAATATATAATTATTGAAATCATGCATGTTTTATTTTGTTTTGTTTTTGCCTTATTACATACCATACACATAATATTCACACGATGATTTGTTTCAACAGGTTGGTACTTAGTCTGGACGTTCTTCCTATCACGATTCCGCTTCGTCAGAGAATTAACTGGGAATGGAATGAGCGAATCGTCGTCGGTTAACGATTTGAAGAACGGTCGCGCACGCATAAAGAAACTTCGCCGTGATTAAATATAATATTGGAGCTACTCTCTAATAACCATAATAACGAACGCAATAATTGTATAAAGCAAAATTGAATCTTGGATATCACACGATAGAATATATCCGATCAAAATGTCTGTAAACATACGCTGTGCGACTACGGAAGACCTGCTGAATATACAGCATTGCAATCTGCAGTGCTTACCTGAGAATTACCAAATGAAATATTATCTGTACCACGCTCTCTCGTGGCCGCAGCTGAGTTACGTAGCAGAGGACGAGAAAGGAAGGATAGTGGGATACGTGCTCGCCAAAATGGAGGAGGACTGCGAGGACAATCCCCACGGACATATTACCAGTCTGGCTGTAAAGCGCTCGCACAGAAGGCTGGGCATCGCGCAAAAGTTGATGAATCAGGCCTCTCGGGCGATGGTGGAGTGCTTCGGAGCGAAATACGTTTCACTGCATGTGCGTAGAAGTAATCGTGCGGCTCTCAATTTGTACACGAGCAGCTTGCAGTTCGAGGTGTCGGAGGTAGAGCCAAAATATTATGCGGATGGCGAAGATGCTTATGCTATGAAGCGTGATCTTACCAGCTTCCATCACGAGAAGGCTCTTAGAGACAGAGCGCACAAGGAGGGCAATGTTCACACACATTTAGGTAGATGCTGCGGCGATCACTCTTAGTCCATTCATCACCGCTGCTGACGAGACAGGATTGGATTCTTAATTCACTCGTTCGATGATGCAAATCTGAGAATAAACCCACTGCATGTCTTTTTGCCAAGAAATGACGAGATGACGTCCGAGACTACGTGTCTGGGGGATTAATTAAAACTGATTATGAATACTTTGTTATTTCTTGCATGGGGCAAGAGCTTCTACTTATCAAAGTTTGACCTGGTACACTAGTAAAAATATTTTATATGTGACTGGAGGATACTTGTTAAAGTTTGCACGATACGGAGTAAGATTGAACTTTGGGACTGTTGTATTTTTCAGTTCACACAATGCGCAACGTAATTAAAACTTATAAATTGACTTATAAATATGTAAGAAATAAAGGATTCTTGAAAAGGGCAATCTATTCGATCTTGACTTTTTTTTCATCATAACTTTATTGAATGACTGCAACTGTAATTCATGTGTAACGCGCCAGTATGCAATATTAAATTGTTCAGGGCGTTGTCAAGCGTGTTGTTAAAAAGTATGGTAGAAAAAAATAATATTTTACAGCACTGAAATGGGCTCAATTTATACAGTTCATACTTACACTTTAAAGTCGGATCTACGAATATTTGTCTCGATAGATATTTTCTTTGTCTTTTTCAATGTATTTTGGCTTAAAAATTATTTTTGACATTGCACGATATTCAAATAAGTTTACTCCACTAATGCATCTCGGATGTACTCTATTATGTTTGTGTATACATACTCCATTTCTGTAATAGGAATAATTATATTATGTATATATATATAATATGTATAAATATATCTATGTACAAATAAGGTCTTCTTAAGGTAACATAATTATTTAGTTTATAACGCATCTCGACTTTGCAAACAGCACAAAGGAGTCTTCAATGATAAAACGCAGGAATTGTCCTTGCGCGATTATACCGAAAAAATGATTTAAAGCGTCATTGTGATAAACCAATTTTCGATGTGTGATCAACGTTCCTTTAAGGAATCATCGCGCGCGCTACATCGAGAGTTTTCGTTTCTAATTTCTCTTTATCTAATCTTGTAATAGCTGCTCTCGGATATGTAGCTATCGTATGCTCTCGTAAGTTTATAGTAATACCGTTACGTATACATTTACGAGTGACCGCGAGGATGATTCACAACTATCGCGAAAAGATCATCCAGGTACAATGTATAAAAGGGGAAATCAGGGTAATGATGAGCTGATGCTCGCGTGGTTAGCGACGTTCATCAACCGGCGTTTTACAAAAAGGAGAAACCATTCCACTTAATGCTACAACACATATTTGAATACGATGATTCAACGCGGATGATAAGCACCTATCGATTCGACTATCATATAAATTTCTAAATATACAATTCTATCTATCTATATATGTATAACTGCCTGCCATATGCATTATAATTACAAAAACGCTTCGTCAATAAATTATAATACAAGTCTCGTAAACGAGGTTCGTGTATAAACGCTTCTCCATGCGCGATATGCTTGGGTATATAGTCTCTAAAAATAATAATAATAATAATAATAAATGTAAGATAAATGTAAGTCGCCTTCAAAGTCGCTTCGTCTCCGTTACACACAGTAAATCACATTAGTTAATCTAAATAAAATAAAAGAATCGAAAGAGAGATACTCCCATGAAACAAGGGAAATTCTAGATGCTCGTTAAAGCTGCAACAAAAACAGCCGGTCACATCTTAATACGCGGCTTCTTAATAACGTGCGTAATTCACACTTACAATTATATCTCCGTTGTTTCAACGAGGCGCGGTAAAACTCTAATAGATACAAAGTTGGGTGGTTCCGCGTGTTGAGCGAGTGCTGCAGTCAGCGAGCTATTTTTAAGTACACTTTCGCACGTGGAGAATGCCGTTAGAACAAGTGCGCCGCAAATTAGCGGAAGGATCGTATACATATACTTTTGGCCTCGACAGGCGTGAGTTTGAAGATAGTTGTAATCTCGGATCTTAACGTGAAGTTCTTTGCCTCAGTCCTTAAGATTCATTTTGATGTAAAAAAAAAAGTTTCGATGATTGTATTAAAAGTAATTCTATGATTGATCTACATAAATAGAAATGCAAAAGATAACCCAGGAGATAAAACGATAATTCTGAATGCGATATTCTTTAAACATTTGCGTTGTCGGTGTCAGTCTGCCACAGGATCTGCTAGATCTAATAAAAACATTCGTTCGTTCGCTCTATAAAAAAAGGCGTTATTGGTCTCGTTGTGCAAAAAGAGTCGCGAATATGCGAGTAGTTGCCGTGGAAATTTTTGCGCGTTAGCAGTTTACAAATTCGATCCGTCGCTGATTGCGGTTCACGGTGTGTGCGCTCGTGACAAATTCACCGTTATGGAAGAGCCTGGTAAAAAGGCCTGGGCGCTCGAAAAAGTCGTAACCCGGCGGTAAAAGCTTCGTATAAAATTCATTTAAAATTGTCTTCTAAAAAAACTGTCCGCAACAAGTAATAATTTAGCCTTCGCGGGGTATCCTAAAAAGGTGTACTTCCCGCATAGAAGTCTGCGTTGAATTTTCTTGGTGCCAATTTTCTGACATACGATTGAGTTACAAAAAAAACAGAAACGCGGTTGTTCCTCAATTCGACATTCGGTATTCATATCGGTCTTTTGCCTCCGAGTAAAAGCAGCGGTGACTCTTCACTACAGGGAAACACTTCAAACCGGTCATTAAAATTGCTAATCACCGAGATTTCAGCAATATCAGTTAACTGGAATCGCAATTTGAGTTGTTGCCTTTTTATTCTAATTTCCTTCGAAAGAACGAGGAATCCGCGAAATTAGAATTACAGTTAACCGATGTCGATGAAAAACCGGTTCTAAAAGAGAGATATGAATACATGTTGTCTAGTCGCGTGTGTGTATGTTCTACTGTATACATACATCTATAAAACTACTAACACGTTTAGCTGCATACGTCGTCGGCGTATATCCGAAATAGACTTTGCGACGTGGTAAGATAATCCGGATGCTTACCAGGTCGCAAATTCGCGAAAGTGTCATTTCGGAAGTGCCTTTACTCGTGCCAGAAAGCTATTGGCCTCGTTATACTCCATTTCACAGATCTACCTGAACGTCTAATTGAACGGCTACATATATTTCCTATGAAAGATTATAATGCTTATATTCTCGAGTACATTACAAAGACACTCGTCCCAGGGTTGTGGTTTTCTTCGTTTCTTACAATCTATACCGGAGCTTTGGCAGTAGCAGGTTCCTATTTTTAGGCCACGGATTTTCTTTATAATGAAGTGGGATAATAGCTGCACGGGACGCACTAAAGTGCGCGGATATCCGAACATGTTTCTATCTTCGTGAAGCGTACATGTTTGATTATCTCGCCATTTAATGTCGAAAGTACTGTCGGGACAAGCAAAACACTTTTGCGCTAGTACTTGCTCTTTCCGAAAAAATAAGAGGCGCATTTAGTACTATTGTATTTCTATTCATAAGTGGCTGAGCCATCAATGATACGCATCTCCCACCAGATAACGCTTGAAGGACCACATTCATGAGAAATTCCTGAGATATTTTTGATCCACTTTCATACAAGAAAGAACATTTTTTTTCGTCAACGCGTTGAAGATTCTTAGCGATGTTTCTTTAAAACCTCGACGAAGAAAGAAAAAACGCGGAGAACAGATTCAGCATATGATCCCTCGAGCATTATCTTCAAATTATCAACGCGATTGGCAACAAGCTTCAAATCGCGGGGATAAATCCAGAAATGCGTTTGAATCTTCTACAGTCTCGAAGTTTCTCCGTTAAGGAGAAAAAATCTATCGAAGACTGCATCTCAGTTGAAGGAACTTGTGGTTTTGCGATCGCGTCGTGACGAAAATTCTTCTCAGGGCTGTTGAGCGGCGTGTATCATGGCGACCTTGAGATCCTTGGCCAGGTGTGAGACGTCGACGACGCTGTCGACCATCTCCTGGACCGCGGTAACGCTCGGGAAGAACTGGGCGGCCTGCTTCGTCTTCTGCACCGTCTGTGCGAGCGCCTCGTTCAAGGCGTTTGCACATTGTAGCACGCGCGTTCGCACGTCGTTGCGCGTCACGTTCCGGTGCACCGTGTCGCCGATATGCACTAGCCGATGCGCACTCAGCACAACGAATTTGCCGTGAGCTAGGAAAACCTGTAACAATTTCATAGCATGTTTCAAACAGATCCTTCTTGCAGTTCATCTCGATTCCAATCTTAAAAATGGCATGTTAACTGAAACTATTTGAAGAATGAATGATTTGAATAAATGATTATTTGAATATGACGAACAGATATTCCTTTGTTTTAAATTCCTTTATTAATTTAATTTTATTACCGAAAGTTTGTGAAAATCACGAAGGCAATGCTTGGACAAATCATAAAGGTATTAACGGTTAGTAAATACAGTTTTCGTTTTATACATTTTTATACGTTATGTATTTGAGACAGTCGTATATTTTACTATTTTGTTTATCATATCTTTGATATATTCTAAGGTTCAAGCATTATTCCTAACTCTGTAGCTTCGTTCCCTACATTTTACACAATGTATACTTTACTAACTACTTATCTTTAACTGCGATGCCGGTTGCGTGCAATGCACTTGCGAAGGAAAAGAGGTCATCGTGAAAAAATAATGGAAATATGCACTTGACGTGCAGTGCTAGCTTAAAGGCACCCTGTCACACAATAGCACCGCCGATATCTACAGTTGTATCATTCTTATCGAGACAGTTGACCCATATACATATGTACTTAAAGGTGTCTCGTGATATGAAGAAGTGCAATGTTCAAACCAAATGTGAAAAGGTGGGAGAACATTTTTACTGAATTCTGGAATGATTGCAATAGATCTAATCAAATTTTGTTGAGAGAAGACAAAGATAAAGCGTCACTTTAACTGATATTATCGATCGACAAATGTCTCTCGATGCGTTAACTTGTACAAAATAATTTATAGCATTATGACAAGTGTCTTCGAAGAGAAGAACAATTGCAAAAAATTCAAATCTCAATTTTTATCGAGACGAGAATGACACCGTTTGTTACTTTAGCTAACAATCAACGTAGCTCGATGTCTATATATCTTGCGCGAAAGAGCGCGACGGGTGGCACCAGTATTACAAGAATTGCTACAATTCAACTCGCCTTGGGTGGCTGATTATGCTCCACTGTTTGCAGAAAGGCGTCGATGGCGTGAGTCAGGTGTGCGCCGTGCGTGATGACCTGGGCGACATAGAAGGCCAACAATTGCTTGTCGTTGGGATCCATGGGCGTCGGTGTCGTGGGTGGCATTTGAATCGCGGCATTGTCCGCCTCGGACACCAGCAGATCGTAATTGCTGCGCAGCTCCTGCGGCAGCGTGGATCGCAGTTCCTCTCGCTGCTTCGCTACGACCTCTCGGGAGTCGAGATTTACGTAGTCGTAATCCTCCCCGGCGCCGCTATTGTTGCTGCTGCCCGTGGAGATGATCGACGCCCGCTTAAAGAGCAACGTGGAATTTCCCTGCACACACAGAGTTCCTTTATCAGCAACAAAGGCTCATCCCTCAAATGTCATCAGCTTCATTCACATAATGCGATATTCCAAAAGAAAAACAGAAATTGAAAGAATTTAAAATACTTAATAACTAATTTTTCAAGTTCTTTAATTTCGAAATAAAAAATTAGATTTATAAGTATTCTCCTGCTCTTTTTTTTCTATTTTTCTCCATTTTAATTCTTAATACAAGAAAAATCGAAAATTTAAAAAATGGATTTCTTACTTATTGTTAGATTTAAGATTCCTTTTTTTATTCTCG